AAGAAACAGAATTGGAAGAAAAAAAGAAGGTGGAGATAGAGAGCATGCAAGAGGGAAGTTTATGGGGAACGCTTGGCGTTTTACCCTTTACCAAAAGTGACAATATAAAGCCAGGCGACACCTGGGGAAACGAGGGGAAACAGGAATGTTTGGGAATCTCTGACACAGCGCCCAACCACCCCGTTTGCCTGAAACTCAGGGGTCCTCTAGGCCGTGAGCTTCCAGGGCTAAAACTCGAGGAACCCGGGCTGAGTGGTCTTGAGACAGAGACACAGGAAACTGGCCAGAAAGGGTAGCACAGCCTGGACCGAAAGTTTCAGGCGAAGAATCCAGACTCTCCTCCAGCACTTCCTGCTCTTGCATAAACTCACCTGTGCTGAGATTTCCACCGTCAGGGCTGTTGATCAAGGGTGTGATCCGTTTTTTGGTGGGTGAGGGAGTTGGGGAGGAAATGTGAGCGCCCGGAGCAGAGACACTCTTTAAAAGATGGAGGTCAACAGTGCCTTAAGAGTAAATTCAAAACAGCAAATAATAAATGAACCACAGGATGTTTCTTTAAAAGACAGACACTGTGTAATTAGAGAGGAAAAGACGGCCTGCTCTGCCCCCCGTGTTCCCTTCTGGCAGGGAAAAGCCAACAGAGCAACTTCATCACACCGATTCCTTCACGCTCCGGCAGGCAAGTGATAAAATTATCAGATGAGGGTCCCAATCCTGTCTCTCACAGTCACTTTCGCCGAGTGTGCCATGTCTAAAGTAATGAAGGCGGCTTGATTAAATGCTCGCTGGCTGCAGCCGCTACGCTAATTTGGAGATGGGCTTATTAGTTTAATGACCGCTCCAAATCATCAGAATTCATTAGCATTAGTGCCACAGCTTCATGTGACATCAGCCCAGGGCTCCAGGCTGCCGCGGTCACCATCTCTCTATTTATATCTCTCCTGCTTCTCAAGAGGGTCACTGTGACACTGTGGTGTCCATGTATGTGCATGCACACATACAAAGGCTTCACGTTCCTACCCACCCTCCACCTGCTCTTTATCCCTGTTTTAGTATCTTATGTAATCCTTTCCCTGACCCCTCTGCACAGACTTCCTTGCTATTCCTAAAACATAACAGGCATGGTGCTCACCTCAGGACCTTTGCATTGGCTGTGTGCTCTGCCTGAAACACTCTTTTGCAGGGCAGCATCATGGGTTGCTCCTTCACTTCCAACTGTTGATTCAGATGTCACCCCCAGAAGGTTATTAGTGGCATTTTTCATGTATATGTGACTGTCGGGCATGCCCAATAGGAAAGTAAAGTGAAGTTGTGTTCATCTAGTGATGTTTCCCCACTCAGTAATGCAGTATGAATATCTTTCCAGGTTGTGATTGTTGATTGGTTGATTGTTACTAGGCTGAGCAAGAAGTACCTAGAAGAATAATAAAGTTCTGGGTGTCTGTGAATGATTGACATGGAGGTCAGGCCACTGAAGGGGGATGACCCTCCCCGGATGTGGATGTCACCAACCAATAGGCTTGTAGCGTGGGTGGAATAAAAGGGAAAGGGAGGAGGAAGTGCTCCCTGTTTGGAAGAGCTCAGACTTCGTCACTGCTCACTCTGGTTTCTCCAGTACACTTGTACCACTGACTCTGCAGTCAGCTTCCAGGATTTTAGCTTTTGGATGCTACAGAATCTTCAGGCTCTCCAGTGCCCAGAGGGCCATTCTCAATTCTCCTACTTCTGATCCTGGGGTACTTTTGTGTAGTTATGCATATATTTTATACTGATCCTGTTCTTCCAGGGACCGCTAAAACATAGGTCAAGCCCTTTAGGTCTTTGAAATAAATATCTCCCCCCACCATAATATAAATAACAAACTACAATCTGCACGGCAATTGGAGCATCCTCTCTGCTTCCATATTCGTGTCTGAGATTAGGGCATTAAAAAAGACACCTGAGAAGCACGGAGGTGCGCTCTGTCCAGCCTGTCTTGCTCCAGCCTGAGCTATAAGCTCTGAATGGACGATGCACACACCATATGCATATAGTACTGCAACTTCAGGGGATATTTGAGAACAGGAGTCATCAATATGAGGAAGTGAGAGCGTATTATTCTCTTTTTTCATAATTTTTTTGAGAACAAGATTTCCTTTAGCTTAGAAATATAGTTTAATTAGAAGATTTTTTCCTCTTAGCTGTATTTTTCTCCTTCCCTCCCTGCCCTTCCCTGCAAGATCCTGCCTTAAAGTGTCTGTTCTTAAGTATGAACAAACAGAATCATAGTTGTTTAATCTGCTGCCTGCGTGTGGAGGAGCACTCCCTGGCTTTGACGCTCTGTGGTCAGAGAAAGAGGTAAAGTTTAGACTTAGAAAACAAAATTCCGATTGGTTTGTACTGCACAGTAGTATTTAGTAAGACGCTTGAGGGAAATTCAGAAAGTGGCTAGTTAAAGAAGTTTATCATGCTTCAAAACCAAACCAATGCAGCACGACAACAGAAGTCCACGACACATCGGGTCATTTCGTTCAGCTTTCTAAACAGTGGGCTCCCTGATGGGAGCGATCTTGTCTGATTTATCTTTGTACCCATAAAGCCTTCCATGGCACAAGATAAGGGTCTTGGAATGGATGAATGGATGAATAAATGTATTAGTGAGTGATTTGCTAAAATTATTCCCAGCTTTGTGACTCTCTCCTTCCCTGTGAGGAATCAGGGGCTGTTACTATCTTTCAGTCACTTGGGGAAAGGTAATATTAAAACCTGGATCCACTCTACCATCGCTCCTGAGAAAGGAAGACCAATGAAGTTTCCCTTAAAGACACTGTCATAAAGAGGGGTCCACACTCAGCATCACATAACCCAAACCGCACACCGTGATGGAGAAGTAGGACTCGGGTAAGGAGGAGGGACTTCCTCAACTCCTGCAGCAACTCACTGCCTTGGGCAATCACCCCATTGAGAAACCTTTGAAGACCACACTTGAGTATTGTCATTAGAATGTATAAACTTCTCGGTGATGCACAGCGTGCTGGTGAATAAGATGATAGTCATGACGGGAAGCTGGGTTGCAGACCTGAGCTGTGTCCGGGGGTTTCTGTGTCTTCTCAAGTGAGCTGTGTGCTCTTTCCACACTTCTACACGTGTAAAGGGTTGTCTTGAAGCGTGAGGAAACAAAGATCTGAGAACCAGTGCCAGGTTCATTCATCATCCTGGATCTTAGCAGGAAAAAAAAAAAGATTCTATGGGTAAAATGTCCTAAAATGTTCCTAAAAGAGTTATTTATAGAGGCATGAGCTGGATTCGTGGACTGGAGGTAGATGTGGGTCCTCAGGGTCTCCCAGCACTTGGAAGCAGGGACCAGCCAGGAATGCAAGGGGTAGCCAGGAGGAAATGGGGCTCCTGGCAGCCACACAAAGCCGCAGCCATGGAGGTAGCGTGGGTTAGGAGCCGAACACATGTGCAAGGCCACAGTCTCCTTCTGAACTATGACACAGGACCATGGCCCAGTGTCCTGGTGGTGATCCACACTGGCCAAGCTCAGTGGACAGCCGGTGGTGATTTTCTTATGTAGGATCAAGATAGAAGCGCCCCATGTTTTGATGGGTGGTATCCTGCCTTGGAAACATTTAACTTTGTCCTGAAAAAAAAAAATGACGGATCCTGGGCCCTTGGTGTGTTGTATTACTTGGAGGCTTCTAAAATTTGTAGTTAAGAGATACATCTCCAAAATTACTCACCCCAAGCTGGAGCCAGGAATCCTATCCTTACGTATCCCACCCCCTCACTGTAGCAGGGTTGGTCTGTGTGACCAGTGGCAGGCACGTGGTGGGAGTGAGGGCATGTCACCTCCGAGACTGGGTGCCAAAGACACAACAGGTTCTCCTCTCCCCCTTCCCCCCTCCCCTCTCCCCTCCCCCTCCCCCCTCTCCCCCCCTCCTTCCCTCTCCCCTCCCTCTGCCCATCCCCCTTTTTCCCTGCTCCTTCCATCTCTCTCTCTTCTGCCTCTCAGGTGGATCTAAGAAGGGAAACTGGAGACCGTACTATAGAAAGACTCACACAGCAGAGAGTTGCGGCTTCCTGCGATGGCCAGGCTGGCGGATGACCTGGGAAATCACCTTTCCCCACTCAAGCCTTCAGATGATTGCAGCTGATTTGCCCACGTGACAGCTTTTGTACAACCTCACAAGGAGCTCTGGGCCTTTGGAAAGTGTGAGATAACAGATTCTTGTAGTTGGAAGCGTAATTTAGGAGGGGATCCATTGTAGCACAGCAGCAGTTCACTAATTTAAAAATTGAGGCCAGTTGCATCTACTAAGGTGCAAATGCATTCAAGATGGTTAACCTGCAGCGGAACCTTTTATTCTGCATGGTCACAATCATTCATACCCTTACCTGTGTCAAAAGCAATGGTCTGAGACTATCTCTTTAGTTTACAATGCAGATCGCAGTAACGCCTACCCCAAGGGTTGTGCTGAGAATCAGAAGGAATAAAGTGTTACAAGCCTAGCACCGAGCTGGACACAGAGTAGCCGCTTCACGAAGGCAGCTCATACCATTTCCCAGGGAGAGAAACACCCTGCAGACTTCAGAGGGTGTCCCCAGCGAGACTCGGGGTAAGAGTCCACCATATCGCCCAGTGCATTTCAGTGCTTTGACTTCTCTGGCCTTAAAGCCAGATCTGTTCTCTCACAGTTCTCTGTGTTCCCAAAACAATCAGCCCTGCTGCCAGCCCTGGCAGCCTGGAGCTCGGAAACCTCTCCCTCCTGACCGTGGAGAATCGGCTGTCTCCACTCGCGCCTCCTTGGCAGAGTGGGGAATCCCTGATTTTCTGGACGTGCTCTGTCACTCCCTGGGCGCAGGCCAGGCTTTGCTTATGATTTCCATTCGCTAATGACTCAGAGATGAGTGTGAGGCTGAGTCACGCAGAGCCGGGTGGGGCGTGGGTGGCCGTGTGATGTTTATAGTGAAGTCACACGAAGCTGGGGGCCTTGCAGACAAAAGCACCGAGGAGTGGAGCCAGACAGAGGTGAGGCTGTGCGTGTTAGCCCCGGGGAACTCGCCAGGGCCTGCTGTCCATCAAAGCTTTGCAATTGGGAAGAACCCCTTCCCACCTCCAGGAGTAGGTGGAGACCCATGCCTGCAAATTCCATCTTAGGGCTCCAGTTCCCTTTCCCGAGAATCTTCCCACTTGGGAAAAACAAAGGAACATAACCTCCCCATTGGCAAAAAATAGAAAGCACATCCATTTCCATTTAATACGGGGAATGCGCTGTGGTCATTTGTACGAAGAGGCTACCTTTATGTGTACTGAAGGGCGCCCCGCACTCGAAGATGTACACAACAGCCAGGGAAGTGAGCCGTGTCATCTTATAATAAGGATAGAGTCGTCCTTTCCTGGTTTGAATTATCAGTGTCGTGTGTATGTGAATGCATGAATTTAAGTAGGAAGGGTGGATGGCTGGAAAGTGCTCTGCTAAACTGTTAACAGTAACTGGGGGTGGCCTGGGTTTGGGAGGAGAGAAACAGCTTTTGCTTTTTGAGAATCTATAGCGTGCTGTGGGGTTTGAAATTCTCAGAGTGAACGGGCTGGTGGGCGACTTGCACTGTTCTTTTATTAAACAGCTCAAGAACAGAGAGGTATAAAGCGGGGTTCTTCATGTTGCTCTGTGAAACAGTAAGTTGTATGCATCTAACTAGCTATGAGAGAAGCCCAAAGCACAGGGAAAGGGGAAGAGAAGGAAGGTGTGGGGAGAGGTGAACAGTGCAAAAAAAAACCAGTGCTCGTTCTAGTGGGGTAGCAGCTGAGGGAGAACCCCAACTCTGAACCACCTGGAGGTTGGCGACCTCCAGTCCTGGGGTCCTGGGTCAACAAGTGGAAGGAGAAGTGGGGGAACCCCACTGTGACTCCTCTGCCAGAGGACACTGAAGTCCTCACCTTGAACAAGGGGACTGCGGCCAAGCCTAGATCACTGTCCGTGCACCCCGGACATGCTGCTTGTCCTGGGTGTCACTTTGTTTCTTCATCTGCAGAGAAAAAGACTCCTTTATACACCCGTTCCCAGCCTTTCCCAAGCAGCAGAAAGCAGCCTGAAGGACCTGACTGCTGCCTGAGAACGCATATTACTAACAAGTCCAAAATTGTGGGTGCTGTCGAAGAAGCCACACTTTTAAAAGCACTGCCTTATCACAAAAAGCCAGAGGCTGCGGTAAGTAAGGAGCAAGAGAGCTCATACAGGAAACTGGCTCCCAACTGAAGAGCTTTGTGTGGCATCGTTCAAGTTCTGTCTCCTCTCTTTATGACTCCAGAATTTGGGGGAGGAGGAAATACCACTTAGCTTTCCTGAGCCTCAGTTTCCACATCTGTAAAATGTGTGTGTCGTTTTTTGAGGCCATAGAACTTCAGGGAACTCCACTGTGGGTTTTATTGTGGTTATTATGATGATGCAATTAAGAATAAATTATTTTCTAGAATAAAGTATTACTAGAAAGGAGAAAGGAAACAATTTGGGTGCCAGGGGATGTGGCAGGGGTTTATTATTATGCTCAGGGTGGCTGCTCCAGAGAACAAGAGGTGACAGAGCTGTCTGCTGAGACAGAGCTGGGTGCACTGTGGTAGAGCGGGTCCTGTGCTGTTGGTTCTAGGCGTCTTTACCTCCCGGCCTGGGATCACACAGCCTGAAGCCTCCTCCGGAGCCCTGGAGAAATTAGCCAATCAGTGCAATCCAGAACTTGCCGGGCAGTGAGTTCTGCCCCCACAGATCCACTTGCATCTTAGCCTGGTCACTCGGAGCCTGGTCACTGCTGTTTCCCAAGTGTCCAGTCTCTCAAGCTCCAGGTCTTTGTTCAGGTTCTGTGATTGAACAGCTCAGGACATCGGCACACTCTTCTCTGTCCTGACATGGGGACGGTGACTGAGTTTCTGGGAGAACTGAGTTCACCGAGGGTTCTGATTCAACATTTGTCTGTGTGTAACCCATCTCAGTCCCTCCTGACGGTGTCCTAGCCTGGCCCTGCAGCTGGTTCTGCTGGGGACACCTGCCAAATGTCTGCAGACCTCCACTGGCACTAAACTCACCCTTTCTTCCTTTATGGCCCATGACCCACCTACGGGAACACTGAGTGCTCCTCTGAGGATGACCACCCAGCCCCACATTCAGGGCCAGCTGAGAGGGCCTCAATTTCAAGGGCAAAAATGTGCATCGTTGGTGATTCCGGGGCCCTCACTGGACTGTCTGCATCAGGTACTTTGGGTCAGGGCCACTTCTGCATTTGTAGCAAGTGGCAAAGATCTCAGACCTAGTAAACTTGAAGAACCACTGCCCCTCAAGATGTGTACCTGATACTGCAGAAGCTACACAGTAGCAGCATGGCAATACCTGTCCTTACCGAGCACTTACTACATGTGACACCTTAAAACAAAGTTCTGGCAACACTCTATGTCCGGGGTCAGCAAACTACAACCTGAGGAACAAGCCCCACTCACCTCCTGTGATTATAAATGAAAGTTTCTGATTTTCTGCATCATCTGGGGTCACGATCTCTGTATTCAAAGACAGCATCCTCTCTCCCATGACACAGTAGCTGGCCATTCAAAGGGCTATCATAGAAACACAACTCCTGCTGCTGAAAACTGGTCCCAGACAGGCTGGGTCCCCATCTCAGCAATGCCCTTTATCTCTGTGCCCCACCTGCCTTATTTGAGAAGAGGCTGTGGTGAGGACGAGGTGAGAGGGTCGCAGTAAAGGGTTTGGTCTCCTGTCTGATGCACCATAGCTACTCAGAAATCTGCAACCCTGTCCTCTCCTCTGCCTGTGGTGGAGTCACCCCCCTGGCCACCCTGCTTGCCTGTTTAATTGCTTGACAAAACTCTACGGAAAGTATGGCTGTGTTTGCACCCTGTGCAGAAGCAAAGGCTGCGTGTAAGTTGTTGCTTTTACTGTTTTTGCAGAGCTGGAGGTGAAGCCCAGGGGTGCAGAATGTTTGGCAAGTGTTGACCTGCCCCTCCCTTCAGCCCGCTTGTTTGTTTTGGGGATGCTTCCTGCCTCTGGGGAGCAGTCCCCTCTCACCACTTGTTCATCTGCGTGACCTCATGATTCGTAACTCTGGCACCTCTGCACTGCTCCCCGAGAGAAGCAGTTCAACGGACACCTGAAGTTGTATAGGCCCAGGGATAACGATGCCTCTGTACAAGTTCTTTCTGTCCAAGTCCTTTCCCAGCTTCCAGGTTCCTGAGTCCTGTGATGGCAAAGCAGCATGAACAGCACGCATTCCCAGCCGGCTGAACCCCTGGCTGGGATCCAGGGAGGGCAGGGGCAGCTGGCCACTTCCCTCCTTCCCGGCTGCTGGGCAGGGCAGGCTTTTCAGCAGCTCTGGGATGCGGATTAGGAGCCTGAGCGATGCCCCTTAAACCCTGCACTCTATTTAATTTCTTTGATTTATGGCAAGGATTTCTTGCACCTCCAGGGGAGAGAGGCCTGGCTACACAAGTCTGCTTCCCAGGCTAAGCCCATACGGCCTCGTCTGTTGATACCCTCCTCATAACAACAGAGTCCATCTAACGGCCCATTCGCTGTCTCCGTGGAACCAATGGCAGAGGCAAGCTACCTCTCCTCTCCACTGGCTAGGATTTCCCCTCATGGTGGCGGCACTGCAAGCCCATCCTGCAGATGCCCTAATCGGGGAGACACCCCGGAGATGGCATGCAACTTTCCAAAGAGCACCCCACTTCCAAGAGCTGGGAGTGGAGACTTGTGCGCTGGTAAAGGCAGAGAGCTCCAGGGAGCAGCTGAGCAGCGTGAAGACTGGAGAGCGTGACCTTCAGCCCCAGGGCTGCTGAGTGCAGGGAGCTGCAAGGGAGTCTAGACTCTGTGAAGACCTAGAAGGAAGCATCAGGAAACGGGACCTCAGGGAGTGTGGGGATCCATTGGCTTTCTCGTGGCTTTCTCCTTTAGCCGGAGCCAGCCTGGCTCCCCGGGCAGCTGGTACAAGCCAGCCACGGCCAGGAAGCTCGGTCCCAGGGTACCCAGGCAGCCTGCATGGAAACTCGGGGTACAGTGGGTGAATCTGCAGATGCTGAGGCCACCTGCCCGCGGGTCCTTCACCTGAGGGTGGAACTGCCACTTTGCTACTCTGACAGGTCTTCTGCAGCCCAGGCCCCTGTCTGTCTGTCTGTCTATTTCCTTCAGTTACACACCTTCCTTTCCTGTTCCCCTCTTTCCTAGCTGTGCTCTCCTGTCCAGTCCGGCTCTCCTCGCTTCCTCCTTCACTTCTGATTTTCCCCACTTTCCTTCTCCTTTGTGTGCTTGTTTCCTCTCTCTCTTTTGCTCCTAGAACTTTTCTTCTCCACGGGCAGGGCTTGGGGTGTCCCCAGACCGGCAGCTTCAGCCTAACCCACACCCAGACCCACCACAGGGGACACTTTGAGGGCAGCCCCAGCCATCTGGGCTTGATGCTCACTCAAGTTTGAGAATCACAGTCTTAGAGGGAAAAACGCCAATTTACCAAACACAGGAGCGTCTCTGCGCGCTGATCCAGTAAGCCTTCGTTTCTAAACACCCAAAACCCTCCTGTGCCCATTAACTAATTAGGACGTCAGACCACCAGGCTGGCCAGGATGCGTCCAGAGACAGCACACACTCTTTCACTCGGGTTCTCTGATTACTATCATGCCGCTAAATCCTCTGTCCATCCTGGGTCCTTCCTGTCCCCGAGCTGTGAGCTGCGGGCTGCTTCCTGGAGCTGCTAAGGGGGACCTGAACTTCCTGTCCAGCAGCTCACAGTGGTAGCAATGCTTGCCAAGATGCAGGGCTCAGGTTCTGATAGGGATAGGAATGCAGAAAGGACACCATTAATCCAGGGTATGTGAGGGAAGTGGGGCAGTCAGATCCTTCCAGTGGAGGACTGTTGGAGCTCAGCAGTCCGGAGCTCAGGAATGCAGTGGCCCCAAGGAGGAGGGTAAGGTCACCACTAGGAGCGTCTCCTGGGCTTGATCACCGAACTCCACTTCCAGGCCAAGCATTGCGAGTGCTAAGCATATTTGACAGATGGTGATTCCGGGGAGCAGAGCTGCTTTTCCTTCTGGTGTGGCCCTTCTTTAGCAGAAGGTACAGAGTAAAGGAACCCCAGCCTGCTCTGCAGAGAGGCCTCACCCTGCAAGGGCCCTGCAAGAAGGGCAGGGGCTTGCAAGCCCCAGAGCTGCTGGATCCCCCTGACACGCCTTCCCGGGGTACCTAAGTCTCCACCAGCAACCTCTCAAACACAGACCGTGAAGCCAGCTTCAGTCCATGATGCGACGACGGAGGGTTTTTGGAATAAAGGATGAGAAAAATGTCCTCATGGTGCCCTTTCTTAAATTGCCCAGAACGTAGCCCTGGAGATTCTAATTCAGTAGATTTGGCATCAGGCCTGGGAATCTAGATTGTATAAAAGTTCCCGCGGGCTTTGGATGGATGCGAAGGATTGCGAGCCACGGGTTTCCACGCACCCATGCGTGGTGTTTGTGTAACTGTATATTCAGGGAAATGTGGAAGCCAGGGCAGGGTCTGTAACCTTTGTACATTATCCCCGCTTGTTCCCCCCAACCAAATGCTGTAAGGTCTTGTTCCCAACACCAATTTGTATCCCCACGATGGATGCAGTCATGAGGAACTGCAAATACGTGTTAATAAAACTAAAAAATTTAAAAGACAAATTTGTAAACAATCTATCAAGACTGTTAAAACACTGTGATCCCATTGGTAAGTGTACCAGGAAGGCATGGGGGTTGGTGGGATCAAGCTGTGTGTAATTTTATTTTCATTACTGGGGATGAAATTCAGTGGTGTTTTACTATTGAGCTACATTCCTTGACCCCTTTTATTTTTATTTTAACTTGGTTATGAGATCCTCCTGCCTCTGCCTCCTTAAATGCTAGGATTACAGGCATGTGCCACCAAATCAGGCCGGGCTTTGTGAAATTTGGACAGCCCATTTAAATGTCTGTAACTTTAAAAATAGACATAAAATAGAATAAAGGATGTGGTGATGCACAGCTGTAATCCTAGCACTTGGGAGGCTGAGGCAGGAGAATCGCCATGAGTTCGAAGCCAGCCTGAACTACACAGTGAGACTCTGTCTCAGACAAACAGAAACACAGACTGAAAGGGAAACCCTTGATCCTTCCGATAATAATCTCCTTGAGAACTCAGCATGAGGAAGTGGGCTGTGTTTTTTTTTTCCCTAGAGGTAGTGATACAGAAAGGGGAGAGATTTTTATTTTTATTTTATTTTTAAAAAGACACAAAATTATAGCAAAAGGAATAATTGAGGGAAAAATTAAAATGTTTATGACCCATTTTCTCCATTAAACTTGAAAATAGTTTTACTGAGTCCCACAAGGGGAAAGCGTATCTTTTTCTATCACTGAAATAATCTATCCTGGTGGTCTTCAACCTGCTTTTAATAGCAGAAATCTTTTCTCCAGGGAAGCCTTAGAGTCAAATTCCAACCGTGTAGAACATGTTAAGGAAAGGTCAGGCTGGCTGAAAGGCAGATGAGAGATCTGACATAACTGTGCTGATATCTCACCAGGTTTCTGAGGCAAAGGAGGCATTTTTTGAGAACAGGAGAATAAAATCTGTCTGGGCAAAATGGGCTTGACCTGTAATCCCAGCACTCTGGGAGGCTAAAGCAGGAGGATGATAGCCTGGGCAACTTGTGGACTTAGTGAGGCCGAGCCTCAAAAGAAAAGGAGAAGAGAGGAGAGGAGAGGAGAGGAGAGGAGAGGAGAGGAGAGGAGAGGGGAGGGAAGGAGAGGGGAGGGGAGGAGAGGAGAGGGGAGGGGAGGAGAGGAGAGGAGGGGAGGGGAGGGGAGGTGAGGAGAGGAGAGGGGAGGGGAGGGGAGGACAGGGGAGGGGAGGACAGGAGAGGAGAGGGGAGGGGAGGGGAGGGGAGGAGAGGAGAGGAGAGGAGAAGAGAGGAGAAGAGAGGGGAGGGGAGGAGAGGAGAGGAGAGGGGAGGGGAGGGGAGGAGAGGGGAGGGGAGGGGAGGACAGGAGAGGAGAGGGGAGGGGAGGGGAGGAGAGGAGAGGAGAGGAGAGGGGAGGGGAGGAGAGGGGAGGGGAGAGGTGGGGAGGAGAGGAGAGGAGAGGAGAGGAGGGGAGGAGAGGAGAGGAGAGGAGGGGAGGGGAGGAGAGGAGAGGAGAGGGGAGGAGAGGAGAGGACAGGAGAGGAGAGGAGAGGAGAGGAGAGGGGAGGGGAGGGGAGGAGAGGAGAGGAGAGGAGAGGGGAGGGGAGGGGAGGGGAGGGGAGGGGAGGGGAGGAGAGGGAAGGGGAGAGGCGGGGAGGAGAGGAGAGGAGAGGAGAGGAGGGAGGAGAGGAGAGGAGAGGAGGAGGAGGAGAGGAGGGGAGGGGAGGAGAGGAGAGAGAGAGGAGGGGAGGGGAGGAGAGGAGAGGAGAGGGGAGGAGAGGAGAGGACGGAGAGGAGAGGAGAGGAGAGGAGAGGGGAGGGGAGGGGAGGAGAGGAGAGGAGAGGAGAGGAGAGGGGAGGGGAGGAGAGGGGAGGGGAGGGGAGGAGAGGAGAGGACAGGGGAGGGGAGGAGAGGGGAGGGGAGGGGAGGGGAGAGGAGGGCTGGAGAGGAGAGGGGAGGGGAGGGGAGAGGAGGGGAGGGGAGAGGAGGGGTGGAGAGGAGAGGACAGGGGAGGGGAGGAGAGGAGAGGGGAGGGGAGGGGAAGGGAGGATAAAAGAGGCTGGGAATATAGCTCTTGTGAAGGCTCTGGCTTCAGCCTCCAGTTTTGGGGAAACAGCAGTGTGAAACCTACGATCTTTATCTTATTTTCCAGACGCTCCTCCAAGAACAAGTCAGTGAGCAACAGACACAGTTCCCTCCTCCAAAATACCGGTATTGAAGGATATTAGATCAGCTACCATGTCAACTTTCGGCTTTTTTTTTTTAACATGCTAGACTAAGACTACATTCATTTCAATGAACTGAGACTGCTGGAGGCTGTTAGTGAATATTCTTTCTAACTTTTCGAATTTCCTTTATTTTGTGTTGCTGAAACTTCCATGGAGAGGCTGTAGGCCAGCGTGGAGGGCCCCCGGGATGCTCTCATGGCGGGGTCCCCAGGCTAAAGGGCGCACACGTGCAGGAGGTCAGCGCAGCAGCAGCAGCAGCAGCGTGGAGTGCAAGAGCCGCCTGCGGCTTTGCTGTGTGTTTCTTACACACGCTGTTACCACTCATTTACATTCTTACATAGAGGTCTCAGCGGTGTGCGTGTGGCTGGCCACTGCCAAGTCCTGGTTAGGTAATCGCGCCCCGTTGTGTGCCTGTGCTGCCAGTGGAGCCAGAAACACGCCCTAACACGCCCCAAACTGTGACTCGGTCTGAGCAGTTCTCCTGAGGCTTTCATTCGTCTTAAAATCTGGGAGTTGGCGTCGATCCCGTCTCCACTACACCATGTTGCTATTATGCTATAACTATGGCGGCAGCAGCAACAAAAACTTAATGTGCAAAGGGTGATTCGAATGCACGGTGAATATTTAAATTTTAAAATTCCATTACAGTAAAAGGCACACTGCCATTAACCCCTACAAGGTGCTTCCTTTGCTTGGAGCACACGGATCCCATCGTCCTTGGCACTCTCCAGAGCAGTTCTGGAAGCTCCCTTTTGTGAGTGTCTTTAGAAGCTGTTGTCTAAAATGCTTTGCATGCTGTTTGCAACAGAAATGTGGGCTCATAAAAACACAAGGTTCGTCCTCACCCACCTCATTCACAAGATCTGACACTGTGCAAGCTCTTCCTCCAAAGACAAAATGACTATGGAAATGGAACATTTTTAATCAGCTGGGGACATTGAAGGCGCTGTGACAGAACACCTGAAGACACTCTTATACACTATAGTATTCGTTGTTTTTGCAAAAGTAAGTAGCTAGCGTGGAATTACCTGTTAAAAATAGAAGAAATAGTGCACCTGGATTCCTTACCGATTTTAGTAGCAATGGTAGCCAGAATAATGAGGTTTGAGACTTCCTACGTGTTTTTCTTATTCTCCTGAGCCTTCCAACTTTATTAAGAGCCCTACTGAGGTATAGTTGATACACAAAAACAAAAAAAAATTGCACAAGTTAAACAAATGCAATTTGGTGAGTTTGGGCACATGTTTATACTTCTACAGCCATCAGTGCAACTCAAAACGGATTAAAAACTTACATGGGAGACCCTGAACTGCAAAACTCCTAGGAGAAAATAAAAAACTCTCTTGAAAGCCTTACTGACAAAGAATGTGACAGAACAAATAGAAAAGCTGTAAGATTCTCATTTCCATCCTGCTGGAACAGGTTGGAGAGAGACCTTTGGAGGCATTTAGGAAGGTCCTGACTTTGTGAAATGGGGAAATAGCAGAGACCTGTGACAGGTTTACTGGAAGGGACCCCTTCCTGTGACCTGGATCCCCGTGACTCAGGAGAAGCATGGAATCCTTTTCATTGCATTGATTGGATGTTGAGGACACTTCAACACTGAACTATGCAAGAGGAAGAATCCAAAGGACAACAGGGTGTGTTAATTAGCAAACGCTTTCACTGTGTTCTGGAAAACACGATTCAGTAGTTGCTTGAACCCGACTGGCTGCACCAGGAACCAGGATGAGGGAGAACGCTGTGTATTTGGGCAGCGGTTGGTTCCTGGCCTGCCTGCTGTTGGTCCCCGACTATCCAAGTGTGTGCAGTGCAGGGGACAGAGCACAAAGTGGGGTCCCCAGATCAGCCACTTCCAGCCTCCCCTGGGAACTTTATGGGGGATGCACAGCCTTGGATCCACCCCAGTCCTGCAGGATCAGAAGCTCTGGCTGGGACCCAGCAGTCTGTGTTAGAATACATAACCCAGGGCCAGGTGACAGTCACGGGAGCTGGACACCAGAAATCCCGTGAGACTGTCTGTTTTGGAAGCTCTTCTTGTCTCTGAATCCTCTTTCCAGGACCAGGGGACTCACGTGTGCCTTGGCAGTCAGGTACTCAGTGTCACCTCTGCTCCAACCAGCTGGGTGCCCAAGTGGCAGAATTTTTATGTAGCTTAGGGCTTCTTTGTTTTATTTTGTTTGATTGTTTTGCATGGGGGAAGTGAGACAAGGTCTCATTGTGTAGTGCAGGCTGGCCTCAAATTTGATCCTCCTGCCTCAGCCTCCTGAGGCCTGGCATTATCGCCATGCACCACCATACTCAGCTTGGTTTAGGTTTGTTTATGTTTTTACCTGGAAAACAGGGAAAGTCATAATAGCAGCTATCTACACTGTGGTCCCCATTATGGGTCACATATCATGGTTGTCAGTTCCCACCTGAAAGGCAGGTGCCTAGGCAGAGACAACGTGTCCCTTGCCTCACGCTGCTTCCTGCGCCCCATGAGCTGAGCAGCTGTCCTCCGCCGGCCCTTCCGCTTGAGTCTACCATGCAAGGACTCAAGCTTCCGATGCATGAGCCCAAATGGACCTCGCCTCCTTTAAGATGTGGGTGTCGGGGATCTTGTTCAGGGACAAAGGAAGTGATAGGACATAGTACTAGAGAGGGGTATGCACATTTGTACAAGATTTTTATACAGATTGGTCCAAATTTCCCTGAATAACTCTTATACCTACTTTTTATCTATACCAGAAGATAAGTGTGCCAACTGTAAAACATGGGTGTGTCTGTCTGTCTGTCTGTCTGTCTCTCTCTCTC